AAATTTTAGAATTATCTTCTTCTATATTAGATTTCTGATTGTCCCGACCATTACGCCCTGCCAATACATCATAATACCGTTTTTTTTTCTTTTCGCCCTTCTTCTCCAAGAAATGAAAATTTTAGAATTATCTTCTTCTATATTAGATTTCTGATTGTCCCGACCATTACGCCCTGCCAATACATCATAATACCGTATTTTTCTTTTCGCACTTCTTCTCCAAGAAATGAAAATTTTAGAATTATCTTCTTCTATATTAGATTTCTAATTGTCCCGACCATTACGCCCTGCCAATACATCATAATACCGTTTTTTTCTTTTGGCCCTTCTTCTCCAAAAAATGAAAATTTTAGAATTATCTTCTTCTATATTAGATTTCTGATTGTCCCGAATATTACGCCCTGCCAATACATCATAATACCGTTTTTTTTTCTTTTCGCCCTTCTTCTCCAAGAAATGAAAATTTTAGAATTATCTTCTTCTATATTAGATTTCTGATTGCTCCGACCATTACGGCCTGCCAATACATCATAAATCCGTTTTTTCCCTCCTTCTTCTCTGAGAAATGAGAATTTTAGAATTATCATCTTCTATGTTTGATTTCTGATTGTCCATTACGCCCGACCATTACGCCCTGCCAATACACCATAAACAATTGACTATTACGTTTTGACCACGGGAAAACACGGAAATGAGCTCTCAGTCTTAAAATGAATGAAATAAATAAAGTAAGAAGAGAAAGAAGAAAGAAAAGATGGAAGCATTTAACGGCTGTTTCAGTGAAATATGTCAGTTTGAAAACTTTTGTACCGCCTTCATAAAATTAGGACCAGCATTCCTATTTTTGACGAGCAGCATGACCCGGCGTTGCCCGTGCTTGATTCAAAAATCCTACGACTTATACAGCAATCGCTATCACTTGACTTTTAAAGAAATGCCCTTTGACGTGCTGATGTTGGCACATGCCTTATTTCTTGCCTAACTGACACTGCGATTTTTTCTAAGCTCTCTACTAAACATTAAATCTGTTACGAAATAAAACTAAACAAAATGAACACAAAACGATCAGCTTTAAAAAAAGGACTCGTAACTGGAAAAACCGAATGAAAAAAGAATGTTAACAACAAATACTTTTTCACACTCAACCCAGTTCTGCGGAATCAGAATCAACGTTGAGTTTAAGCAAGCGAATGAGCCAATTGGAGTAAAGTGCCATGCAGATTTAAATTTTTCCCACATGTGACGAATGCAGCTATCGATTTTTTTTTAATGCTAGCATGCTAGTTAACATTCGTGTCAGTCTGCTGTTGGCTGTCACGCTGGCCAATAGAATCTTCCTGCCTATTCGTAGCAGCCAGAAATTGGTTCTCACTCTGGTCTGTAGAAAATGGCCGCAAACTACATGAAAACTGCCGTAGAAGTATGAAAAAATCGATTATTTCCACTATCGACGGGAGTTGGTAAATGCAACGTCGGTCTTGGCCTTTCCACTAACTTGGAGCATGTGCATGTAAATTTTGGTACAAATCCGTCGAAAATTGCAGCCGTGCATTCGTTACACACACACACACACACACACACACACACACACACACACACACACACATCCTGCCTTTTATAGATAGTGATTGCTATTGAGATATTTTGTTAAGCTAAAATATTTAACGATGTGGTAAGCGTATAGCTGTTTTATTATCGCTTATTCAATCATTGATTGAAGAATTAAGATTCATCATAAACTCTCCCTTCGTTAGGAAGGAAGTTAGAAAGAAAGAAAGAAAGAAAGAATGAAAGAAAGAAAGAAAGAAAGCATGCAGTTTGGGGTTGGTGTGTCACAGAGAATTATTCATGAAGATCCTAACCTTCACAAATTCTGTACAAAGTTTATTCCCAGAGTTCATCATCAGTTCTCCTATAAAGCAGAGAATACTGGACAATCTCCTCACAGATGAAGAAGAGACTTGAAGCAAGAGAAACAAAGAAAAGTGTACTGAACTTCTAAGGAGAAATAACATAAAGACAAACTTTATTAAGAGCTACAAAGGGCCGGAAATTGTGGAGGGCCATGATCGCCAACATTGAAGCAGAAGAATGAGTTTGAGTAAATTGATGCTGGAACAAGGTTTAGGAACTGCAAAGGCATGGAAATTGTAGAGAGCCATGATCGCCAACGTCTTAAAGGACACGGCATAAAGAAGAAAAACGATCTTGAGTAATTGGATGGCGGAACAAGGGTTAGAAGAGATAACAAAATGACAAAATTTATTAAGAGTTACAAAAGACAGGAAATTGTGGAGAGCCATGATCGTGAATGTTCTGAAGGGACACGAGATATAGAAGAAGAAGATAAAGGAGTACAAGTAGGGGCTTGAGTAAATGGATGGCGGAATAGGGTTTCGGAGAAATAGCAAAAAGACAAAATTTATTAAGAACTAGAAAGGACAGGAATTTGTGGAGAGCCATGATCACCTACATCCTGATAGAACATGTCACATAGAAAAAGAAAAATGAGCTTGAGTGAATGATTGGTGGAAAAAGGTTTAGGAGAAATAACAAAAAGACAAAATTTATTAAGAGCTACAAAGGAAAGGAAATTGTGGAGAGCCATGATCGTCACCATCCTGAAGAAACATGGCATATAGAAGAATGAGCTTGAGGAAATGGATGGTGGAACAAAGTTTAGGAGAGATATCAAAAAGACAAAATTTATTAAGAGTTACAAAGGAGAGGAAATAGTGGAGAGCCATGATCACCTACGTCCTGAAGGGACACGACATAAAGAAGAAGAAGAAGAAGAAGAAGAAGAAGAAGAAGAAGAAAAGACTAAGAAGAATATGAAGAAGAAGACGGAGAAGAAAAAGACAAAGAGTAAGAAGAAGAAGAAGAAGAAGAAGAAGAAGAAGAAGAAGAAGAAGAATTCAATATTCACTAAATTAAGCTAAGTTGGCTACAATATGTGCAGCTATATGAGAAGGGGTAAAAAAAAAACAACGAAATTTACAGACACAGGCAATCCGATGTGAACTACCTCGGCACGCACAATCTGGCGCTAATCATCATCAACATTGAAAGAGAGAGAGAGAGACAGACAGACAGACACAAAGACGGAGAGATAGATAGATAGAGAGAGAGAGACAGACAGACAGACACAAAGACGGACAGAGATAGAGAGAGAGAGAGAGAGACAAAGACGGACAGAGATAGAGAGAGAGAGAGAGGCAGACAGACAGACAGACACAAAGACGGACAGAGATAGAGAGAGAGAGAGAGACAGACAGACACAAAGACGGACAGAGATAGAGAGAAAGAGAGAGAGACAGACAGACACAAAGACGGACATAGATAGAGAGAGAGAGAGAGAGAGAGAGAGAGACAGACACAAAGACGGACAGAGATAGAGAGAGAGAGAGAGAGACAAAGACGGACATAGAGAGAGAGAGAGAGAGAGAGAGAGACAGACACAAAGACGGACAGATAGAGAGAGAGAGAGAGAGAGACAGACAGACACAAAGACGGACAGAGATAGAGAGAGAGAGAGACAGTTAGACAGACAGATACAAAGACGGACAGAGAGAGAGAGAGAGAGAGAGAGAGAGAGAGACACAAAGACGGACAGAGAGAGAGAGAGAGAGACACACACAAAGACGGACAGGGATAGAGAGAGAGAGAGAGAGACAGACAGACAGACAGACACAAAGACGGTCAGAGATAGAAAGAGAGAGAGAGAGAGAAGAGTGAAAGAGAGAGACTGTGAGAGAGAGAGTGACAAAAATATTGCTGAAGAGATTTTTAAAACAATTTCACCCCAACCAAAGCGATAATGCCACTGAGGCGGAAGGTGTGTGTGTTGGGGGTTTACTGGCATTGAAAGAAAATGAAAAGACTTTAGGAGGAACCGGGAACTCAATCCTAATTATGTAACAAGGGTTAAACCTCTACTCCTGTTCAAAAACTGTGGAGAAGTGTGAACCGGGCGATAGGCGAACCTATATACAACGATAGGGTAACTAAAAAAAAAGAAATGAGATTAAAACTCGTCCCGCTGACATATTTCATTCCGATGTGTCAACGAATAGTACATAAAAGAAATCATGACGTCTGTGGTAATAGCTTTCCTCAACTTCTTTGTCGTGCTTTTCTTTTAACAATTTACCGTAATGATTTTGTTCCATTTCTGCCGTTCATCCACGCAAACTCATTAAATACGATACACACTGTATTAAATATTCCACTCTTAGTGAATCGACCGAAACTAAAATTATTCGCTCCCAGTGAAACGACGACATTTGATACGGATCTTCAAGGGCGAGAGTTGCACTATGATTTGGCCTTTAGTATAGCACCAGCGTTTAAACCGGATATGTCATAAAAGGAGACAAAAGTTCCGATATAAACGATACTACATATATACTTAATAATTTAATAATTTGTCCATAATCTTTAGCAATGGACGAACTATCGCGTCAATAAATTACCGAACCCAGAAACGAAAGAATCAAGATAAGAAGATCCTATATCTATTTTCCACTACTTCTTTTGCCTTCATTAAGTCAAGAGGGTGCTGTTAAAGCCTACATTTTGTGTTTGAATTTCTTTTTCTTTTTTTATCATCATTCCACCCCATGCAAGGCAATAATTCCACTAAAACGTAATGCGCTTATTGGGAGTGAAAAAAAAAAGAAAAAAATTGAGATACGCTACTAAGTACACAAGAAACAAGGGTGAATATCTACTGTACAAAAGAAGGAGTGTAAATCGACCGAAAATAAAAATCGACGTGATTAGATATAGGCTTTCTGTTCGGAGCGAGAGTTGCACTATGACTTGGCTTTTAGTAAATAACGTCATAGCTTAAATCGGATATATCATAACAGGTGACAGCAAATCTGATATAAAGTATACTTGATAGACAATTTACTCAACATTTTGTCCATAATCTTTAGCAATGGACGAACTATCTCTACAATAACATAAATAAAACCGGAAACGGAAGTATAAAGATGAGAAGACCCTATTGCTTTTTTCTACTTCTTCTCTTGCCTTCGGTAAGTCAAGGGGGTACTCTTAACGCCTACTTGTTGTTTGAACTTCTTTTTCTTTGTTACCATCATTTCATCCCAAGCAAGGCAATAAATCCGCTAAGACGTAATGAGCTTATTGGGAGTGAAAAGAAATCAAGAATTTACTTCAGTTCAAAAACCAGGAAGGAGTCTGAATCGACCGAAATTAAAAATCGACGAGATTAGATTAAGGTCTCCTGTTCAAAGCGAGAGTTGCACTATGACTTGGCTTTTAATAAAGAACGTCTTGGTTTAAATCAGATATAAATGGAGAGACACTAGATCTGTATTAACCGATACCTGATAAATAAATTCTTCAATTATTTTTTCGAAATGGAAAATGAAGACTCCCCCCACTACCAAAACAAAAAGAAGTATGTTTGATTCGCTCATAATGTATTTGTTACTTTTTGGTTATTAGTTCTTGTTAGGGCCGCCATTTTATATTTTTGACGAAGGCACTGAAAAAAAAGCCTTCTTGAGTGCTTCTCTTTGTTCTAAGCCGAATGAAAATGTGCGGAAGAAAAGGTGATGAAAATAGCGGCAAACTCTGACTTCGGCAGGCGCTTCAAGTGGAAATGAATACGTCTGCGAATAACGGAAATATTTTCTATCAGACCATTTTTCCTTCAGCTTGTTGGTCATTGATGTGTTAAAATCTGTGAATCAAAACACAGAGCTAAATGCGAAAAGGTGCGTACATACTTATGGATTCGCTGGCACAATGACATATATTGAAGAAGTTTGACTCATGTTTGTTAAAATAGTAGATAATATAATCTATCTATGTATCTTGATTTATTCATCTCCCCCCCTCCCACCATCTATCTATCTATCTATGTCAGATCTTCATTATCTATCTATCTATCTATCTATCTATCTATCTATCTATCTATCTATATCCCATTCCGTTTCTATCTATCTATCTATCTATCTATCTATCTATCTATCTATCTATCTATCTATCCAAAATGCTCATATCTATCATATCTATCATCTATCTATCTATATATCTATCTATCTATTATTCCAAAATGCTCATATATCTATCTATCTATCTATCTATTATCTATCTATCTATATCTATCTTCATATCTATCTATCTATGTCCTATCTTCATTATCTATCTATCTATCTATCTGATTCCGTTTCTATCTATCTATCTATCTATCTATCTATATATATATATATATATATATATATATATATATATATATATATATATATATATATCGCATTCCGTTTTATCTATCTATCTATCTATCTATCTATCTATTATTCGAAAATGCTCATATCATCTATCTATCATCTATCTATCTATCTATCTATCTAATCTATCTATCTATCTAATCTATCGTTTCTATCTATCTATCTATCTATCTATCTATCTTCTATTATCTATTATTTCTATCTATCTATCTATCTATCTATATATATATATATCCCATTCCGTTTTCTTTCTATCTATCTATCTATTATTCCAAAATCTATCATATCTATCTATCTATCTATCTATCTATCTATATATATCTATCTATATATATATATATATATATATATATATATATATATATATATATATATATATATCGCATTCCGTTTCTATCTATCTATCTATCTATGTATCTATCTATCTATTATTCCAAAATGTGCATATCTATCTATCAATTCATCTATCTATCTATCTATATATCTATATCATGCATCTATCTATCATATCCATTCTCATTTATCTATTCATCTATCTATCTATCTATCTATCTATCTATCTATCTATCTATCTATCTATCTATCTTATTATGTTTACTTCTATCTATCTATCTATCTATCTATTCCTATCCAATTCAGTCTGTTCATATCTTTCTATGTCAGCTCTTCATTTTCACTCACTTTCTCTGTATATATATATATATATATATATATATATATATTGAGTAGTCTTGAATAGTGACAAGAAAATTATTCGAAAAAGATGACACAGAAAACCCTGTACTAATTAGTGATACTTAGCCGGCAATTATGTCTTCAGAATCACGCAGCCTGTCATCTTTCTTAACAAATTTATTGCTATGACGATGTGGTCGATATAAAATTGCAATGAAAGTGAAAACAAAAGCGATAATAATATTTCCCCACCGGTAGCACGACTCGTATTTTCATGCACAACGCAATCTTCAGGTGCTCAGTTATGACTGACCGTTACAGAATTGAAATTTTGTCAGATATATCTGGTTATCACAATGATGATCCTGTCCATATTTCATACAGGGATTGTTGTTATTTTTTTGTAATTTTGTATTTAAAATAACGTAACTAAGAAGAAAATTATATCCACACATATTATTTACTTCAAGTAAAATAGAAATGTTTGCATGTAAAATATATATATATATATATATATATATATATATATATGTGTGTGTGTGTGTGTGTGGGTGTGTGTGTGTGTGTTCTTTTTTAAAGAGATATGAAGTAATCAACGGCCGAAACGTCGAGAATATAACAACGAAGATGAGGACAACAGTCTGAACAATGTAAATAATTGCAATACCTCATCTCAGAAATATAGTAAGATCCTGAAGAAGGCCGGAGCATACAACGGCCGAAACGTCGTGAATATAGCAACAAAGTCATTGTAAATAGTGTAAATACATCTCAGAAATCTAGACAGATATAGAAAGGATTATTATAAAAATGTCTATATTATTTAATAACCTTGCTAGAACGAAGATAGCCCCCCACCAACTCACACACACACACACACACACACACACACACACACACACACACACACACATATATATATATATATATATATATATATATATATATATACACCCATATATTATTGATTCAACACCATCACTTGATACGACACCGAAGCTATTTTGCCTATTTTGTAGTGATTTTATAAAATATTTATGTTTTAATTTTCGAAGAAATAATTATATATATATATATATATATGTATATATATATATATATATATATATATACAGGTATGGGATAATAACAAATGGAGTATAATATTTACGATCAAGTGAGAAGGCACAATTTGAGTGCAAAATCCTGAAAGGTGTTGTGTAGTGATTTTTAACATGTTTTTGATTTAATCTCATCTATCTATCTATCTATCTATATATATATATATATATATATATATATATATGTATGTATGTATGTATATATATATATGCTTCAAGTAATAAAAGCTTTTAGTTGGCAAACATTCTTTTCAATGTGCTAAACGCGTAAAAGGAATTCACCACATTTATATATATATATTATATATATATATATTTTGAATATAAAACGATCAGCGTTGTTTGATTAAAAAAAGACTCAAACATCAATCGTATCTGACTTAAAAACCGAATGAACAAAAAGAATGTTAAAAACTCAACTGAAAAACCGAATGAAAAAGAATTTAACAACAAATGCTTTTCACCCAACCCAGTGCTGCGGAATCAGAATCAACGTTGAGTTTAAGCAAGCAAATGAACCAATTGGATTAAAGTGCCATGCAGATTTAAATTTAACTAGTTAAATGCTAGTTAACATTCGTGTCAGTCAGCTGTTGGCTCTCACACTTGCCAATAGAATCTTCCTGCCTATTCGCGGCAGCCAGCTATAGGCTCTCTTCTGGCCACTACAAAATGGCCGCACACTACACTAAAACTGACGTAGAAGCATGAAAAAATCGATTATTTCCATTATCGATGGGAGTTGGGAAATGCAAAGTCGGTCTTGGTCTTCCCAAATCCGTCGAAAAATGCGGCCGTGCATTCGTTACACACATCCTGCCTTTTATATATATATATATATATATATATATATATATATACACGCACGCACTCAGATGCACACACACACACACACACACACACAAATATATATATATATATATATATATATATATATATATATATATATATATAGTAATCTGTTGGTATAACCCAGGCGAGTCCTATTAACGAAACATAGAATTTTAACACTGACCCACAAAAAGACTGCTCACTAAACAGTACAATACAAACTGATAAGTTAAACAGTTTGAAAAATCCTGCGAATTTTAAAATTAAGATTAGTAGGTGAAAAATAATTTACTAATGTTATCTTAATTCCAATTGTAATTGTGTGTGTATATATATATATATATATATATATATATATATATATATATATATATAATTCTAACTTTTACCCATGAAATACTGTTTAGAAATTTATCAAAATGGAATTCCCTGAAAAGTGTTTGTCTGAAATATCTTTAATATCAAATAAGTTAAAATTCGGAATATTAAGATGAATTCAGGCATTGATACAGAAATTATTTCAAAGACTCACAATTCGGGAGAATCGTCATTAAATTGGCAAAATCCTGTTTCTTCATTTTTTTTCCGATGAGGAACACTTACCTGAAAAGATAAAGAAAAAAGAAACATGTTACGGAACTTCAAATTTTAAGATAGAAGCTGACATATAATTTTATTTTTGATGATTTCTCCCCAAGAATGGCGACAACGATACTAAAACGGAAGTAAAGAAATTGTAAACACTGGGGGGAGAGAGAACAATGAAAAATGAGCAATTAGGTTGTAGATAACGATTGACATTGAATTTAAAATTTTGAAGATCGAAGTTCACTTGAAAGTAGGAAGTCAGAAAACAGTTCCATAAGCTTCTGAGAGAAGAAATTATTAGCATAGAATTTACGGTTACATCAAGCCGCCATTTCATGATGAGTTCTTGTTGCTAATCTAGTACTGCGTTTAAATTTATAAATTATCAGCACAATTACAATGAAAGTATTTATAGAAAAGCCACAGAGAAAAAAAAACTTGATGGCGGTGAGATAATGACTTAAGTCAAGATGCCAGATAAGGGCCAATATCATTGCAGATTCTTCTTTTGATTTTAACAAGAATCTCTAAATATATAGCAGGAGCATCAGAGCAGATGTGGCAGCAATATTCAAAGCAAGGACGAATGGCAGACTAACACATTATTGAGAAGAATTGGAGAGAAGTATACAAGAAGAATAAAATAAAAATTGAAATGCAATGTCAATCGTTATCTTCTGTCTTCTTAATTTCTGTTCTTTTATTGTCCTCTCTCCATAATAGTAATTTTTCTAACATTCAGTAACTCCCTTGCATCTTAGTGGCTTTATTGCCTTTGATCTTCAAAAATTGAAATGCAATGTCAATCGCTATCTTCTGTCTTCTTAATTCTTGTTCTTTTATTGTCCTTTCTCCTTAATAGTAATTTTTCTCATATTCTCTAACATTCAGTAAAACCTTGCATCTTAGTGGCTTTATTGCCTTTGATCTTCAAAAATTAAAATGCAATGTCAATCGTTATCTACTGTCTTCTTATTTCCTATTCTTTTATTGTCCCCTCTCCTTAACTTTTAGCTCACTGTAGGTGACTATTTTCACCAAGCTAAAGGTTAGTCTTGCCAATCCAAGTTCAATTTGAATTTCTTGGTTGTGCAGTCATATCCTTCTATGGCAACACCTAAAACAATCTCGACTAAAATTGAGAGCCAGGCTACTGCAATTTCAAATATATAGAACTAATATATCAAATACTATATTTTGAGGCGATTTCATAGAGAGTAAAAGCGGAAGATTTATTTAAAGATCATGTAGAATGAGAAATGTTACTAGTGTTTTTCTTTTCTTATATTCTCTAACATTCAGTAACCACTTACCTCTTAGAGTCTTCATTGCCTTGCTTGGGGTGAAATGATCACAAAATAAAATTAAATAAATAAATAAAATCATGTGGAACTCTTTCCCGGGTCCTTGCTTCAAAGTCACCTTTAATCTCTCGAAATTTAAATGCAAATGTCAAATGTTATTTTCGGTCTTCTTAATTCCTCATATATAGGAATGCCACTAATATTTAGGGGGTTACAGGGAGTGAAAGTGAAAGATATGACTTAGAATAGGAAAGAAAAAAGTATGAACGATGTTCAAGAAGAGAAACGATGACAATGGACATTGCATTTAAATTTTTGAATTATATAGTTATTAGGGAAACAAGTAAACGGAAGTGAGTTCTACAGGAGGGAAGTACGAGAAAAGTAACTGTTGGAGTAGAAGAGGCGGTTATATTCAGCTGTAAACATGTGGGACCTAAATGCCAATCTAGTAGCACGCTTAAATTCATGTAATTGGGGCAAAACTCATCTAAGTAGTTGCCATGAAAATATTTGTAGAAAAGACAGAGCGAAGCCTCTTTACGAGGGTGAATAAGTGGCTTTGCGGCAATTTTTAACATCAACTTGAAATTTTTCATAGTAGAATAATGGATAAAAATTACTGAATTTTATATATATATATATTTTCAACATATATATACATATTCATTTTTCACTTTTGGCAAAAAAGACCCCCGTCAAAATCGGGGAAAAACTTCTCATCTATTTTATAAGCAATTGTAACGTATACAATTGTATATAGAAAATTTTGTTGAGATTTTTTTTTGAGAAATTTTAACACATTCAACATTAAGGATAAAAAAAATAGTGAATTTTTTATCGCGCCTTTTTAGCACGTACAAAATAAATTAACAAAATTTGGACAAATTATTCATGTTTTAATAGTCAATTTAACGTATACAGGGTGTATCAAAAATATTTTTTCAAACTTTGGGAACGGGTTCTTCACACTAAAACAAGGACAAAAGTCCATGCGAAAATATGTCGGCAAACCCTTCGTTTTTGAGTTATCAAGTTTAAAGTTTACAGCAGACACAGTTAAATGTACAGTCGATCTTTCTCGATTATTAGTTTATGGTGCCACAGATACAGTCTCAGCAACTTGACGATAAATAGCAGCAAATTTTGGATGACTCGGCTAATTTCGGTCTGGAAATTCAATCTGATAC